GAAGGTTGTCTGTTCCGGTGGTGAGTTTGCTTTTGCATATTTTTTGCTTTTGTGAATCTGCCGTCGTGCTGTGACCCAACGCTCCAGTGAAGTTCACCGAGTTCGCTGCGTTACTGTGCTTTTCAGCGCGCTATCGCTAGCATCCCTTGTGCAACGTTTCGCAACGTTTTCCATCGGCTACGCTGCTTTTTTCAAAGCGATTAGTGGTCGATGTGGCACAAATAATTTCGCAACCACAACACGTCCCAGGCTCTGTCAGTGCCACCATGGCGCAGGCAGGGGCCCCAAACGACGCCATGCTGTCCAGGATCCTGGCCATCGTGTCCAGGATGGAGGCGGCGTTGAAGAAGCATGCCAGAAGGATCTCGAGGATCGAGAAGAAAATGGAGGAGGTCTACACCCCGGCCGAGACCTCCACCGACGATGACACCTCGGACTCGGACGAGTCCATGGACATCACGTCCGAAGAGGCCCCCCTGGAGTCCCCCTTCGAGGAGGTCCCCACCGCCAGAGCTGGCGCAAAGAGGCCCGCCACCCCCACCCCCCAGCCAGTCTTCACGACTGGCAATATGTTCTCCGCCCTTAGCGGCGAGGAGCAAGCCCCCACGCCTTCCACTTCGGCCAAAAAGCCGAAAATTGCGTCTCCGCCCCCGACCGTGAAGCCCAAGCCACCAGCCAAGCCCGCGGCCACGGAGAAGCCAGCCCCATCTGCTGCTGGCAAGAAGCAGCAGAAAAATGCCAAGCCCCAGACAGCCCCCCATGCTGCCAAGCAGCAAAAGAAGCCCCAGCCCCAGCCCCCGGCAGGCCCAAGCCGGGACACCGCCAGGGCCAAGCCCGCCACCACCGCCGAGACCACCCCGGTCGTCGACGAGACCCCCGCCGAGCCCCGGCCCGAGCCCCAGGAGGAGACCATGGAGACGGAGGTCCCCGTGGTGACACCACGTCCCCCAACCACCCCGAAAAGCAGGATTCCGCCCATAATCCTGCGGGACGGCCAGAGATGGTCAGAAGTTTCGCGTCGGATGACGGATAACTCCATCCGGTATTCGAAGGCGAAATCCACCCCGGAAGGGGTGCGCATTCAGCCGGTCGAGGTGAGCGACTTCAGAAGCCTGGTAAGACTTCTGGACAACATGAAGGTGCAGTATCACACCTTCACGCTCCCGGAGGAGAAAACTCTCCGCGTAGTCATCCGCGGCATCGCCGTAGGAGTTGCCAGCCAGGAGGTGTTGGAAGACCTGGAGTCTCTGGGTCTCCAACCAATTCAGGTCAGTCGGATGAGCCGAAACGACCGCCCGATGCCCCTCGTCCTCGCCGAGATGCCTATGGCCAAGAAGGCCGAAGTTTTCGAGGTGAAGACACTTTGCGGCCTCTCCGTCAAGGTGGAGAAGCCCCATAAGAGGAAGGATGCTGCCCAGTGCCACCGCTGCCAGCGGTTCCACCACTCCCAGCGGAACTGCAGGGCCGAACACCGTTGCGTCAAGTGCGGCGCCGAGCACCAGACCAGCGACTGCGAGAAGCAACGCAGGCAGCCCGCGAAATGCGCGAATTGTAGCGGGCCACACCCGGCCAGCTACAAGGGGTGTCCCAAGTTCCCCAAATCGCAGCAACAGAAGGCTTCCAAGAAGCCTCCCACATCGTCCAAGACGACCGCCCCCAGGACCGCCGCCCCCAAACGCGGTGCCCTCCCCAAGGCCACCCCAAAACCCAAACCCGCTCCCGTTCCCAAGAAGGTCGCCCTCACGGCTCGCCAACAGGCCGACCTGCAGCTCCAGAAGACCCAACTGATGACCGCCATCGCCGCCGCCAAGGACTCGCAGTCCATGGCGGAGAAAATGGCGGCATTCCTTCCCCTCCTTTTTAAAAATTAGATGGGTAGTACGCCACTAATTGTAAATTCATTACAGATCGCCTTCTGGAATGCCAATGGACTCCGGAGCGGGCGTTATGAACTCGAAGAGTTCATGGAAGACCACCAGCTCGATGCCATCCTCGTCAACGAGACGAACCTCCTGTGGGACTCCCGAGATCCCAAGATGCCGGGTTACACCTTGCACCGAACGGAACGACGGGACGGAAACGGGAGAGGAACGGCCATCTACGTAAGAAAAGAGATTAAACACTCTTCTTCTTACGTCCCCGATCTCCGACAACTAGAAGCGACGGCGGTAACCGTTGTGACTGCGAGAGGGCCTCTGCGCCTAATCGCTTGTTACAACAACTCCAACACGCTCCAGGTTGAAGACATCGCTGACCTCGTCGCAGGCGAAGAGGCCACCATCGCAGCTGGCGATTTCAACGCCAAGCATTCGGACTGGCACAGCCGCCAGAACAACGCGAACGGAAGGCGTCTCCTAACCTTCCTCCATAACACCGCGGAAGTAGACGTCATCTCCACCGAGGAACCGACGTTCTACCACCGAGCCCGACCAGATGCACCAGGTGATGTCTTGGACATTGCCCTCGTCAAGAATCTCCGACACGAAGTGGACGTCAACGTCGTCGACGAGCTCCACTCCGACCACCTCCCGGTGATTATGCGCATCGGGAACGAACCCAACGATCCCGCGGCCAACATAATCACGACCACGGACTGGACGAAATTCGCCGAACATATCAAGGGCAACTTTGGTGAGTTTGTAACGAATTTCCAGGACAGCGAGCAAGTCGAAAGAGCAACCCTGGACTACGAAAATCGTATCCGGGCCTCCATCGACGCGACCTCAATTCGACGCCCTGTGCGGCCATTCAAACGGCCCGCGATACCACAGCGTATCGCGAATCTCATCAGGGAAAAGAACAGAGCCAGACGAACAGCACGACGAACTGGAGAACAGGACGACCGGACTGCAGCGAACCGCCTCCAATGGGAAGTCCGGCGAGCACTGCTCAATCTTAGGAACGAGCAGTGGGAACAACGACTAGAATCCCTGAACACCGTGGACGGATCGACCTGGAAAATGGCCAAAGCGCTGAGAAGCGACAAGCGGCCACTTCCACCGATCCACAGCGCGAACAACGGCATCGTCTTCACAGAAGAGGACAAAGCCGCCGCCTTCGCTCACAGTCTGGAGAACCAATGCCAGACGAACATCGACCCTGATGCAGATGACGAGCACCTGGACCTCGTCGAGGAAACCGTCGAAGAAATTCGAATGGCAGAACCCGACGAAGACGACCAGATCCGCGAAGTCCATCCCGACGAAATCCGCGAAATCATCCGACTCCTCAAACCCAGGAAAGCCCCAGGCCCAGATGGCATCCCGAACAAAGCATTGAAGAACCTCTCCGACGAAGCCATCGTCGCACTAGCAGGTATAATTAATGCAATGTTTAAATTCCGTCTTTTTCCAGCTAGGTGGAAAGAAGCCCACGTCATTTTCATCCCGAAACCGGGGAAAAATCACATTTTCCCGGAAAATCATCGACCCATCAGTCTCCTCTCGTCCGTGGGGAAGATCGCTGAACGTGTGATTCGGAAACGGCTAGCTGAGTTCGTCAACGAACGAGGCGTAGTCCCCGATGAACAGTTCGGTTTTCGCCCCCAACACTCAACCTCCGAACAACTCCTCCGAGTAGTCGAATTCGCCGCAAAATCAATTGAATGGAAACAATTGACTGGCGCGGTGTTCCTCGACGTTGCGAAGGCTTTCGACACCGTCTGGCATGATGGACTTGTTTACAAGCTTCACCAAGCAGGCGTGCCGTTGGCGATGGTGCAGCTCATCCAATCTTTCCTGGATTCCCGCACGTTTAAAGCACGCATTGGGCACGCTTTATCTGCGGAGCATCCAATTAGCGCAGGAGTCCCCCAGGGCTCGGCGCTTTCCCCGCTCCTGTACGCGGTTTTCACCGCGGACATACCCAAACTCCCCCGAACTAGCCTTGCGATCTACGCGGACGACACGGCTATCCTTACGCGCTCCAAAATGCCGCACCTCGTAACCTCCTACTTACAGGAGGCCGTGGATGCGCTGGAGGAGTGGTGCAAACGATGGCTCATTACAGTCAATCCAGAAAAGAGCACTGCGCTTCTTATCTCGAAAAGACGTATTGGGCCTGAAGGAAACGTCACGATGTTTAACCGGGTCATCCCTTGGCGGAGCCAAGCAAAATACCTAGGTGTCATCGTCGACAAACGGCTGTCCTTTATCCCTCATATTGACTACATCGTGGCCAATACGAACAAGATAAAGGGTTCGTTGTCTGCGCTGATCGGAAGGCGCAGTAAGGTGTCGATCAGGAACAAGTTGTTGCTGTATCGCGCCATCATCCGCCCCACCATGTCCTATGCTTCAGTGGCCTGGAGCTATGAACCCTCCAAAACCCAGTTCCACCGTCTGGAAGTCATCCAGACGAAAATTCTCCGACAGGTTTTCAAAGCCCCATGGTTCGTCAGAAACGCCCAACTGCTCCGAGAGGCCAACCTCCCGCCGCTGAAGGAGTTCCTGCACGAAGTCGCCCTCCGAGCCTTCAGGAAAGCTGAAGAGCACCCCAACCCCCTGGTGCGAGAAGCCGTCGACTACGAGTTCGACGAGGAAGCCCCCCCCAGTCGCAAGCGGCCCCGTAGGGCGCTGCTTGAAGACCGAATCGGCAAGTAACACCACCTGCCGTCTCCACCGACCGGCCTTTCCCGGCCTTCCCAACTTCCCGACCGCATCGCCTCCAAGGTGTTGCACATCTAACGCCAGCGCATAGCGCATTTTTTCTGTTTCAGATCTCTCCACCGGCCGCAGGACCGCGAGGAAGAGCCGACGATGGGGGCCAACTCCTAGGCAATCAATAGCTCAACCGAGCTCGGTAGCACAGCCCCCGCTGTGTCTACCGGGATGCGCGTTGTGGGTGTAAGGGACAATGTCCTGGTACCCGAGCAGAAGAAGGAGGGGTTTTAGGGCGGTAACCATTCCCCCAGTACCACCGTAGGCCGCAGAAGAGGCCAAGAACCATTACGGTGGTCTGCGTAGACATTTCCCCTCCACCAAAAAAAAAAAAAAAAAAAATTTGGTGATAAAGCATTTATTATTTATTTATTCATCTTTACAAAATGTAAAACATGTTTAGGCACTGTAAGCTATTTTCTTTACTATTGGTAAAATTCTAGAGTTTAAATGCTGTACATTTGCTACCTCCTTTATTTGAACAAATTAATGAACAAAAGTTCATGTATATCCATCTTTTTTTTTCAATTATTATTCTTGCATATTAAAATAATTTTGTTTAGAATCATCCTCAAAACAACATGAACTAGTTCTCTGTATGTAACGTTGCAGTAATCACTCAGAGATGCCAACAAACCTCTGACGAATCTTTATGTAATATTTCCTTTTACTAATTCGTTTTACAAATACAGCCGATTTCTGATTACTGTATTTAATGTAACGTAAAAAACATTATCACATAATTGCTGTCAATGTTTGAGGAAGAAACAAAAAATAAATAAAAAGTTACAGAAACTAGGTCATTTTTAATGCCTCTACATTTTTAAAAATATATGATCCCTTTTCGCAGTACCACAGTAAAAAACTATTTTTGTTTCCATGCCACAACATATAAAAAAAGGAAGAGTAAAAAAACCTACGTTTCTACACGGTTATTAATAAACAATAAAGCAATACGTAACTATTTTACAATCTATAAATAGACTTTTACAAGATTATTAAAGATATCACTGATGTCCTTCCTTTTTTTGTAAATTCATAGCTTCATCACTATTAATAAATATTACAAAAGAAGAAATTTCAAAAAAACATCTAAATTGAAATTTGAATGTGTATGTGTTCTCAATAGCTACTTCCCGTTTACTTTGAGACCAAAGTAGGGGAAATACCTATTAAAAAACTGCAACACTTCAAAAATATTGTAAAGGTACATAATCTATACAGTTAGTATTTTCTTAGAAATAACCTTAATATTTATCTAGTTTAACTATATAAGTTAGCTGGAAATTCTTGATCAGATAAAACTTCATCTTGTTCGTGGTCGGACTCAGGGTCTTTCCGTTTCCTTCCATAAGCTCGCTTACTAGTCACTGGAAGAGCATCTGTTTCACCATGTAGTAAAGAATTCCGATACAATAACAATGGTTGCCAATCTTCACCTCTACTACTTGGCATTCCTATAAATATTAAGAAGAGAGGTCAAGATAGATAAGGAGAAAATCACAAAACAGAATAGATACCTGTTGTTATCCTTCTATCCAAAAACGTTAATACAACTCTCTTGTCTTGCTTCAATAGTTTATTAGTAAATTCCGTCAAAATCTCTAGGAAAGGTAAATTAGGTGGTGGGCCAGTAGGATCCTCAGGTTGATCTGCTCCAGTGACAGCAAATAAGATGCCTGCTCTGTGTAAAGCTGTTATCGCTTCTCGATTTTTGACTGCGTCCAAACCAAATGACAGGGCAAATCGTTTCGCTAACTCCTACAACTTAAGTTAATCATTTTTAATTTCAACTTTCAATTCAAATTTTACCTTAAGTGCAAAAAATTCTTCATTTTGTCTCGTACTTTTGCCAGATGACAACTTCTGTACTTCATGAAAAATCATATTCAAACTTAAACACATTGTCAAAGCACAATTTACTTTATTAATTTCACGAGCTTTGCTCAAAGTAGCTTTAATGATATCACCATATTCATTGTAATATTTCACATAATGTTTAAATATATCAGCAGCAGCTTTTGTTGGCATTATATTATACACAATTAATTTACAATATGCTGCCAAGAAGTTTCTGCGTTTATGTAATTCTTCGATTCTATGTTCATCATGTTCCGCGTTTTGTTCAGGTACAAAAACATAAGACTGTACAAATTCATTTAACAAAGCTTGAAGGTTTCTATCTGGTTGACAAATTAATTCTGCCAACGCAGGCGCAGTGCTAGACAGCTGTTCGCTGAAAACTATAAGAAGATCGCACAAACATACATATGCTTCTTCTTTTATACTATTGTGAGGAGAACATCTGATTAACATTTGAGCAGCTTCTATAAATTCATCCAGTCTTTGCCGCATTTCTTGAATTCCGGATCCTGTTAAACCTCCACCTTCATGTTGAACTTCTAAACCTCTTAAACCCCATAAAAGGCAGTAGAAGCATGCACTCAAACTATACTTTAGAGCGTCAGGTGGTAACACACTGTCAGTGTCCTATCAATAACACGTTATTTTCCAAAATATTGTCATTAATATAAAAATAGTAATTACTTTTACATCCTGGAAGAGTGTCGACCATAGATTCCACTGATTTAAGTTGTGACAAGCATAAAACATGGAGACTTTTTTCAGAGAACTGACAACATTAAAGATTTCATCTGCATTAGGTGTTTCTTCGCCAAGTAATAAATTGCGCCAATCATCAATAGCTTCTTTATAAGAAACCACGATCATGTCAACTATTGTAGATCTTGCTACATCGCATCTTGTGTATATCGAATGACCTTCTGTACAAAGAATTTCAAGAGTTTTAGCCAAAGTTTCTAACACCTATGAAAAATATAAAATAAATATCAACAATTTCATAATATTAAAAACAGTATAATAATGTAATGTAACAATTTTGTTGTTCTTGCGTCAACTAACAAATTCCGTAATTGTTTAAATACATTTTGTGAGATTATTGGTTTTAAGTTCTATTAAAATAAACTTGGTTAAAAGTTATTTTGAGTGTGTTTTATATAATTATTGAACACAGTCTAAAAATAGTGACTAAAACTGACATGGGTTGGAATCAAATACAGAAATCTGAGAAATTAACATCGAGAATAAAAACCCCCATGAGGAGTAATAATGAAACAAGAAATTACATTACCATTGGAAAAATTCGGTCTGTAATGAAAATATATCTGATATTTTCTTATCTGCGTCATTAATTTTAGGTACTTCATGCGTGTTTTGTGGCAGTTTAAAAAACTTGTAAAATAAGTAAATAATCAATTTAATAATTTAATGACTTACTTCTGGTTCATGATGGACCTGCGCAATATGCTTCAATTTGACTAAAAGTGACTGAAGTGAACCTTCTTGCCTTCCACTTGTATACAGATCCAAGTCAAAATACTGAGGAATACTTAGTAAATTGGCTAACTTTTCTGGGTCTGCTGCATATTTGTCTAAAAGTGGAGGTAAACTAACAATGAAGTGTTCTGTCAATTTTTGTTTATCTTCTCCAGCTTGCTTCATCTCTCTCAAAGAAGAAACCCTTCTAGTTGGACCTCGACCTACTGGAGCCTCTCCTGTTGCAGCCTGCTTAATGCAGCACACCATAATTTCAATTAAACTTGTTTCTTGGCGATTGTCCAGTGGTTCTTCTTGGGGTCCCGGTTCTTCTAGTAACAAATCTGTCATACACTCCCAATCTTTCATCATACTGTTCGACTCTATGAGTGAATCAACAAGGTAAGCAGCGTGTTCATGCAATTCCGATTCAATGAAAAACTGAACCAAATCTCTGATAAAAGGTGTATTTGGCAGCCGACGCTTGCCACGTTTCGTTTTTCCTACATCAACATCACCAGGCTGGAAAAGTCGCTCGTTTAAAAATTCACCAGCAGCTTGAGCAACTGCTCGATGCGAAGAATAAACCAACTCATATACATGTTCACAATCCTTATCTGTTAAAATTTCGTGGTGATGCTTGAGAATTGAAATTACAAGCTTTACAGCTTGAACAGCAACATCATATTCTTTATCTAAGGTCATTGCAACAATACGATCTTTAAATTTGTTAGTAAAAAGTTCCAATTTTCCTTTAAGTTCTTCACTTGCATAAAGAGGTTGTAATGCTTGCAGACATCTTAAACGTACCTCCCCTACTTTATCATGTAATGTCCATCCTATGTATTTCAAATATGAATCATCTAAAAAGTTTGCATGGAATTTATGCATCCATACACCAATTTCTGTCATAGCAATAGCTCTAATTTCTGGTAGAGTGTCACGATATCTATGTACAAAAACTGATTTAAACATGTAAGTTAGCATATTTTTTATTTCATCCATGTTCTCCTCAAGTTCTTGTCTTTTGCCAAGGAGAGCTTCCAAACGATCACTGGCTCTTTTTTCTCTCGTTTTCTGACGCTCAGCTTCATATTGACGCTGTGTATTGTCCAAATTTACTGACACTGTTAAAGCAACATCCACTAGTGCTGTCATTAATTTCATGGCGCCAAGTGTAGCGGTGTGTCGGAAGGCACGCACCTGAAGAAAAATGTTATAAAAGAATAAGGGTAATATGAAGTTTGAAACTTGAAATTCGCCTACAAAAATTTGGTATTCATATTTGGCAATTTTTAGTAGATTAAGGAATGTGATATAACATGTAAATTGATATAAATGTATACAATGTAGAAACTACTTATAAGAAAAATATAGATATTGAGACTCTGGAACATTTAAGAAATATTATCAGGAATCCCTCACATTCTGCTATGATAACACAAATAATTTCAAATATTAATTTTCCTGTAGTCAATTTTACAAAATAAAAGTAAATTATTCAACCAAATTCCATAAAACTGACCACGGAATTCCATACAACTCTAAAATTTTACATCAATCTTGATCAAATGTTTACAACTGAATTTCAAATTTACATGTTAAACTTATAAATTCAAATCACGACATAACGGGAGTTTAATTACCACTGAGGTTTAATTAACAATCTGGTTAAGAGGGCTGTTTTATTGTTTTTCCCATATGTCATAGTGAGTTGTCATGTCAAAAAAAGGTTATTAATTCACTACAGCCGTGCACAACAGAACAGTCAATGTGACAACTGTATGACAGCTTTCAAAATTTATTTCAGAAACGACCCGTGGAAACGACGTATCAAAACTTTATAATTAAGACACCCAATACTTACTTGTGAATCTGATAATCCAGTAAGCAATGAAATCACATTATCCATTAAAAATTGATCATAAATTATAGAATACTGACACTGCTTCACCAAAGTTTGAACAAAATCGCAAAAATTTTGTCTAAATTTCTTCCAAGTCTGTCCAGCCATTATTAGTGGATATTCTCCTGACTCTTCATCAAATTCCTCAGTCATTCTTCTAATAATCGCAGCATGTTCCATAGTTGCTTGCATATGTTGGGTTATACGTCCCTTACATCCAGCAGCATTTATGAAAAATTGCATCAATGCAATAAGAGCTGATTCTCTGTTAACCTAAACAGGAAAATTCAGTATATAACAAAACTTATAATGCATTTATATACCTTATAACTCTCAATCCACTCATCCACGATGTTTGTAAGAGACACTTTACTATTTTTAATATAATGATATAGTGACGTCTCATCTTCTGTACCACCTTCGATATGATTTTTTCGACCTGGGGGTCTACCTCTACCTCGACCTTTTGTAGTTGTGCCAGTGTTGGTTGGAGAATAAGACGGTGCGATTGGTGGTGGCAGATTTGTTTGCCCTCTTGCTTTAGATCTTGTTATTCTTCTCATTCCTGGAGTTGGAGGCGATTCAAACATACCATCTGACGAAGATGTTCCTGCCTGCTCTACGTAAGCCTCATTTCCGTACAAATTTCCATGATAGCCCCCATAACCGTCAGATTCTACCTGAGGGGTCATGGGGTTCTCGTATTCTGGTGGTGGTTCGTCCATCCGTATGCGTTTTCCACCACGACGCTGCATATTCACGTTTTGACGTTTTTTTATTTATTTATACCATTTACACTAACACCAAAAAACTTCAATTACAAGTGAGATCCCAAATCCCAACATAATCAAGAAACAGAACGCAGAACAGCAAAACGCTGTGCGACGCCGGATGACGCCACACTCCACGCGTGCGCCGTTGCCAACAAAGTTATTTGTCAGCGTTTCCAAAACAGAATTTAGGCAACACTCAATTCATTACAGTAACCAAGAACGTGGCACACTTATTTTTGTCCTCTTTTTTTCACCATCAGAGCCATCAAGCCTATTCTTAGAATTACAAACACGAGTTTTCCTATCTTCACCTTCACAACAAATAACCTCAAAATCAACAAGGCTTGAACAGGTATAATCGAAAATTAACCGAGAATGTGCTATAGATGGTTTTAAAAAACCCGTAATTAAAAACTAACAACATAAAACTAAATCAATATACTATTTTCCAGATATATATTTTTCTGGCTCTCTTGGTTCAGAACTATAAAGCTACAAGCAAGCAAGAATAATTCAACGTGACAATAACTTGTAAAGCATGAATTCGGCCGAGTCGCAGTTACAAGTTCGGTTATTAACGAAACAAGAAAAGTACTATACTGTGTTTGCAATGTATGACCTATATAATATGTTGTTTTTTTTTAGTTTTGCAATCCCAGATGTGCCATTGGCAGTGCCGAGTTCTATTGAACATAGTTCTTTGAATGAGTTAGTGAATCAATTAATAAAAGAAAACAAGTCGGATTTCTTAAAGCCTAAAGAATTTGATTTCTTAATACAAGGCGAATTAGTTCGACTTCCACTGGTGGAACACTTAACAGAACATGCTATATCTACTGAAGCAACTATTGATATTGAATATATTGAAAGGACTCCAGCACCTCAACCACAGGATTCACTTTTACATGATGACTGGGTCTCAGGAATTCACTGTGCTGATAAATGGTGAGTATAATTTTATTATCTGTGCGATCCACTCTTGACCAGTATACACTTCTTTGTCGTTTTAAAAGTTATGGAATCATTTTAGCAGGTTCCAAAATGAACTAGTGCTCTGAGTAGGAATAACAATATCTATTTGTTGAAAATTATTTTTTGTAGCTGCATTATCATAGTACTCAAATCCACCTGACCATTTGAATGATGCATTGTTACCTTTTATTATTTCTACAGGTGGTGATAGAACAACCCACAAAATTTAAAAATGTTCTGTATACACTCCTTGATATCGTGAACTACTTTTATTTAAATAAGAAATTCTGTCTTCATGTCTGCAACAATTTCAGAATAATGGTCCATTTGAGACCCTACCCTAGCTCCAACTATCACTACTCAACATCAAATGAAAGATACTCGAGGAATGTGATTTTTGAATGTGCTCCATTCGCAAAAATCACAAACAAATGCACTTACTTTTAAAAAAATAGTTACTTCATTATAAACTTTATTTTTCAAGTTGAAACAAAATGGGGTAAATGATTTAGGACTATGAGAATTACGATTAATTCAGTACACGGTGGATTCAGTAGCAGAGCAGAAGGGTAAAATTTTAGATTTTGCTATTCAGTGCACAGTTGGGAAACAACCTTTCCTGAAAATAGTGTAATTGTTTATCTGTGTCTCATGGAAGGCTGTAGTTTTAATCAAACCGTAAATCAGAAAGTTGTTAAAATATCATCATGAGTACATTGTCAGTACATACTAGCCTAAATTACTACTTTTACGTTTTCTCGACCTTTCATGACCCCTAGAGTACGAAGAAATAGGTCTCCCGTTTTCGTCTGTCTGGCGTCTCGGATTTTTATTAAACAGATAAACTCCGAAAGTACTGGGCCGATTGTTGTCAAATTTTGTATTTGTATTAGGAATAATCATGTAGATGGTAAAACACTAACCAAAATTTGTCCCCACCACTAAGGTGATGACGTCACTTTAAAATTGTACGTACTAAATGGGTTTTAAATTGTATAAAATAACATAGTCCTACACTTGTAGTTTATGAATCCATATTTTTTAGATTAGCTTGTTCAGGGTGACTAGAAAAATTAATGAATACCATCTTTAATCTTAAGTTGTCATTTGAAATTTCAGAGGTCTATTATTGCAATGAATTCAGTTACTACGAAAAAAATGCACGGAAAACAGACTTATCGGAGATCACTGTCGCACTTCGAAATGCGTTCGTATTGTGAGAGTCGCTCACAAAACTACAAAAAATCAAAAGCAACCAATATTCTAAAATCAATAATAAAATAATTTAGTAAAATATTTCAAAAATTTTCCGTTTATTTCAAAATCTAGTTGCTTGAAAAACAATTGAAAAATGGTTACCATCACATATATATAAAATAAAAAAGTTACAGGGATTATATCAAATAAAAGAGACACCCGGTATAATATACTAGTTCATTAGAATTAATTTTTCAGAAATGACATTCATTTTAAACAGGAGATAAATAAATCATAAAATTAATCATCCAAACACTTCGGACGTGGCTATATACGTCAACATATAACTACTATACTATATGTACTATATACTTCAATGCTTAATTCGCAGTGGTGTAAAAAAATTAAAAATATTAACACACAAACATTTCCTCAAATTCATGTGATTTCTATGAAACGCGGAATTCTTAAAAACATCATCGTGGTTATCATTTCTGTCGAATTTGATACAGTTTTGTATTCGCTGTGTAAATATGTAGAAAAATTTTTGAGATAAAAAAGGAAAAACATTCTACTGAAAAGTGCATTTACATATAAATAAGACAACGATCTTTCTTTGTTGGGACTGACTAGTAAATATTCGGGAATGATTTGACAATCCATGTCGTCGTGGTATTCGCCAACAACAGTTTAACAAAAACTGATATACACTATGTGAGCAACACCATGCGAAAATATAGAAGTAATTGATTTTTCGAAAATCCCATGAAACCTAAACTAGGAAATAACCAATTTCATGACTCGTTTTAATTGTATGCCTTCCCTGAAATTATATTCCCTAACATTTAAATGTTGTTTTAGTCCAACCTGTTAAAAATCGTAACCTAATGATTATTTTTGCGGTTTAGTCGTTTTTGTACGCACATGTCTGAGCAAAAACAAAAACCTGTATCAGGTACTTAATTTTTCTAGGCGAATAATTCGCGAATAGTAAACACGGCTATTTTTTCTGCGTCCTAGAGCCCGCATTGATCAGATGTCGCTATACCCACTATACCGTCACATGCAATCACCTGATTTCTGATTTAAAAACTAAAAATAATCGAAAGTTGCGGTTTTCTTGTTGCCTTAAACATGTTTTTTATTTTTTGTTTGTTTATAAAACGTTTAAGTTACTACTTTTTTAAGTAATTTTGCACCATTAATCAAAATGTTAAAACAAGATTAATATTAACTGGTACCAGCGTTCCATTATTTCAGAGAATCCGCGAATTTATTAATTTGATGGATTTATAATTTTTTAAAACAAATTGTAATAGAAAGTAAAGTTTAAAGCCAACTGTTAATTGAATATAAAATTTACAGGATTCTGACCGGCTGCTATGATTACTCCGTCAATTTATGGACCACCCACGGCAAATTAGTGACTTCACAAAAACAACATACAAATATTGTTAAAAAAGTGGTTTGGCTAAAAGAAGGAGATCCTTCCTGCGGTTTTGTAAGTGTTTCCCATGACTTAACTGGATTGTTGTGGGAGTGGGAGCCCGGAACAGATACTGTTAAACCGCGCATTGCATTAAGAGGACATGAAAAAGGTGTTGACAGTGTTGGCGTCAGCCCAAATTCCCAGAGAATTGCAACAGGAGGCTGGGATACTAACCTGAAAATTTGGTCAGGATCATTTGAATCTGACGATGAAGAACCCGCCAATAAAAAAGTTAAAGGGCCTAAGGGCATAATTACAAGAACACCCTTACATACGTTAAAAGGTCATAAAGAAACTATCACTGCAATTAACTGGATTGATAACCATGTTATTAGTACTGTATCAATGGATCATACAATCAAATTTTGGGACGCCGAGTTATATGGTATCAAACATGATATTGTTGGCCAAAAAGCATTTTTAGATGCATCTTGGTCTTCTCTATCTAATACTTTACTAACATGTTCGGCTGATCGGCACATTCGTTTGTATGATCCAAGAACTTCACAAGGATCTGTTATCAAAACTACTTTTACTTCACATATTCTTTGGGTTAGTTCTGTAGCATGGTCTAGATACGACGAACATCTTTTCATGTCAGGAGGATATGATTCGTGTGTCAAACTTTGGGATTCCAGGAGTCCAAGAGCTCCACTTTATAATCTAGAGGGACATCAAGGACAAGTCTTAGTTGTAGACTGGTCCAATAACAAGTACTTAGTGTCTGGTGGAAGTGATAATAACGTACACATATTTAGAAATAAGCAAATTATGTAAATAGTTATACAATAAAACATTTAAAAAAATGTAGATTTTATTTTGAAACGAAGAACGTTACTGACAATACACGTAAAATATTTGTGTTGATTTTAACGCCAGCTTGAAAAAGACGAACTCCTGTAAAATAATATTTTTATTTATTAATGTCACTTGGTAAAGAGCTCTAACATACCCTGAAAACGGTGCATTCGCAGTTCCCGAGTTTGCAGCTTGTTGGGCTAAATTGCCAAATCCTACAGTTGTCTGATTCGCTAAATTACCGAATCCGGTATTTTGCGTACTAGTAGCGGCACCAAAACCGGTGCCTGTAGAACCAAATATTTTTGGAGGACTACCAAAGGCTGGAGGACTTCCAAAGGAAGGAGCACCTCCAAAACTGGGCGCACTCCCGAAGGAAGGTGAACCACCAAAAACAGGTGAATTTCCGAAACCAGGTTTATTGAAAGTCGACGCAGTTCCAAAACCGGTTTGTCCAACAGTTGCCGAAGATCCACCACTAAAGGGCCCGGACGGTCCTTGCCCAAAGCTGCTTCCTCCAAAAGAATTTTGTCCAAAAGTGGATTGTTGACCAAAAGGCGATGACTGGCTTCCAAAATTACCATTACCAAAAGTTTGTGTAGGTGTACCAAAAAGTGACCCGTTGTTAGAACCAAACACAGAATTGTTCGAAGGCGCTCCTGAACTACCAAACATATTTTTGTTTTCGTTTCCGAACGGATTACTTGCCGCCGAACCGAAGCCTGAACTCGATGTCGTTGCAGTAGAACCAACGTTAAGACCTCCGAAACCAAATGATCCTGTATTAGAACTACCGGAGAACGTACTTGGTTGAGTTGTATTTGAAGAAAATATGCTTGAGCCAAATGGAGGTGCAGTACTTGATGCTGGTGCTCCGAAAACCGTTCCACTTGAAGCAAATGTGCTTCCTGTTGTAGCAGATCCACCAAAAATGTTACCAGATGTTGTAGACGGTGCGCTTCCAAAGATTGATCCCGAAGATTGCCCAAATGTATTAGCGGATGTACCAAAAGTATTTGAAGTACCAAAGGTACTTCCCGACGAACCAAACACGGATTGGCCAAAAGTGTTGGTCGTTTGATTTTGACCAAAAACGGAGCTGGTTGTACTAGTAGCATTGCCAAATCCGCTGGATTGATTAGTACTCCCAAATATTGTTGCTTGCGTGGAACCAGTAGAAGTGTTACCAAATACTGAAGTTTTTTGTAGTCCGTCCCCGAATACGCCAAAACCTTGAGACTGTGCCGTCGTTGCAGTTGGAGCTCCAAAAATTGATTGTGGAGCTGTGGATGTGGCTGCATTACCAAAAATTGTTGACTGATTTGAACTACTAGAACCAAACACCGATTGAGCAGTTGATGGAATTGAGGCTCCAAATAAAGAACTTGAAGAAGTGGACACTGCAGTGCCAAATACTGACTGTGTAGTTGTTGTAGCCGGAGTACCAAATGAAGATGTAGCCGGAGGCGGAGCAGCAAACACTGACGGTTGCGTAGTAGATGCAGTTGAGGAACCAAAACCAGAAACTGACGTTGTAGATGTATCAAATAAGGATGTCTGTGTAGAAGGCGCTGTAGAAACAACTAAAGTACTAGCCAACGTAGAAGGTGTAGCACCAAATATTGACGACAGTGTTGTACTTGCAGAAGTTGTACCAAAACATGTTGATGCTGAAGCTGATACGCCTCCAAATATTGATGGTTTAGATGTGTTTGCATCGCTAGAACCGAATATTGATGATTTATTCGCTGAAGTGCTGACAAAACTAAATCCTGTTGTTGAAGTACCGATAGGTAACGTAGATGAAGTATCGCTGTTCGTTGTAGGAGTAGATCCAAAAATAGTTACTTTAGGTGTAATCGATTGAGGTGTTGAAGTAAAAGATGAGAATGTGGACGGACTACCGCTGTTCGTTGATGCAAGAGATCCAAAAGTGTTATCGGTTTTAGTCGTTATCAACTGAGTACCAAATATACTTGGAGCTGACGTAATGGCTACAGAATTATTTGTACTAACAGGAACAGTATTTGAAGTGCTAATAATAGTTACGGTAGATAAGCCAGTGGAAGCAGTAGTATTACTTGCAAGTACTGATGAACTTGCAACTGTTGAGGGACTCACTGAAGCAAATAATGACTTTGTCGTATTTACAGCAAATACTGCTGACGGCGGTGACGAAATTTTTGCAGTACCGCCAAAAATTGAAGACTGTATAGAACTTGTAGTAGTTACCAAAGTCGTACTTGTGGATGGTAATCCAAAAATTGACGATGAGGCAACAGCTGAAACTGTCGGTGTTGTAGTTTTTGCTGTGGTTACTGGTGGTGTAGAAAACAAAGATAATTGTGAAGTAGCAGTAGCCTTCGTAACTACAGAGCTTTGTGGTGTCCCAAAGAGGGATGTTGAAGTGTTGTCAGTACTCAATTTTGATGTTAATAAATTTTGTGGAGTTGTAGTTGAAAGAGTCGTTTTAGAGAATATGAACGGTTTGGTCGTCGCAGCAGACGAAGCAGAATCACCTTCCACCTTTTGATTTGTCGATCCAAAAATATTTGAAGTGGTTGCTGAACCAAAAGAAAATGAAGGGGTGCTAGCTGTTGCAGATCCAAATGCGAGGCTTGATGTTGCAGTCTTCCCTGCAGTAGTACTTAAATTCGTAACGATAGTTGTAGATTTTGTAGACGAGGTTAAATTAAATCCAGTTGTCAATGGACTAGCAGGCTTTGTAGTTACGCTAGACGCGGGAGTTGTATTTTTAACTGTGCCTGCATTGAAATCTGATGTTCCAAAAATAGATGTTCCCATTGAGGTTATTTCAGCATTAGAAAAGACGGTGGGCTTTGTAATAGAATTTGAAAAAACAGTAGGCGATTTTGGTTCCTGTGTGGGTACTGCAGATGAACTAATAAACGGAAATGATTTAGGCGTAATGCTACTGCCGACAGCCAAAATAGAATGACTTGCTTCTTGTGAAGTAGTTACTGTTACAACACTGGCAGTTTTACCTACAGATGAAATTGTTGATGCTGTTGGAGCAACACCCAAAAATCCTGTCTTCATTGTAGCAGGGGTTACTGTAGATACAAAAGCTGAATTTGGTGAACTGGCAATTACATTTTTTGTTAGAGATGCAAATGGCTTAGTTTCATTTGAAAAGTGTTTAGATTCAAATTTAAGCGTAAAATTTTGTAAGCCTTCAATCGCAGTACTTGACTTGTGTAATGTAACTGAAGATTCAGACTTTGAAACTGTGGTTTTTGGAGTTGAATGTTCAAAATCAAGTGTCTTTGTAGGAAACTCCTTAGATAGTGGAGTTTTCATCAGCAGTAAACTATGCTGTTTCAATTTTGAAGATGGTGACGCTTGAATCACCGACGTGGACAATGGAGGCTTTGCAGCAGAAACATGTGCATAATCTCTTTTCTTCAAAAACGACCTCAAATTATCTGCTTTTACCTTGGTGAAGTTTTTCATTCTGTTTGTAACATGCTCATACTGAATTTGACAAATATCATCCGGATCCATTCTTAGGCGTTTCAATTCATCAGGTAAATCTCTCATATCATCTATACTTACTAACAGCGAAGGACCCAAAGCTGATCGAGATTTATTTTTTATTCTTGTTGCGATGTCTTTCAAAACGTAGCTCTAAACATCAGCCAACAGTAAGTGAACTTAAAATAAATGAAAAAAAAAAAACTTACTTGTTTCCGCAAAATCGCATTTTGTTTCACCATTGTTTGAAATATCATTTCCATTGTTGGAATCTGAATTTTATGCGTTTTTTTACAATAGTCTTGGAAATTTTCCCATTGTTCATCCAATGCAAGATGTGCCTGAGATATTTGCGACTCCAAGTAATAATTAGTGTGTTGTATATCTGCAAGTTGTTTTTCTGAAGCTGAATCAAGAGGTTGCGCTCTTATCAGTATTATCATTGATTCATCCTGTGAGGCTAAATGACGTGATTTTGCTTCTTCATACCAAGCCCACGACTGCAGTAGATTCTGTTTTAAAATGTGCACCTAAAAAATGCGCATTTTAAAACTATATATTAAAAACCAAAATACTACTTAAACACCTCAGAACTTTGTGTAACACATATGTCCAAAACTTCACCAAAAAAGTCTTCTAGTAATTTCGTACTTTCAATTATTTTTGTTTTATCTTCATCAGAACCCAAATTGAACTTTAGAGTTTTTCCATGATGGAGGACAGCTTTCAATTCTGATTCTAGGAAAATGCATTCTTCTCTGACCATTTGTGCAAATATCTTTTCAGCTTCTTCCTCAGCTTTTAAATCCATGCTACCGATTTCTGACTTGGATGAGTCTTCTTTAGACTCTAAATAATCTACTTTCATTGTACTGTTAGGTGGTATGATTGAAGGAACAGTTATAAATGGTTTTGAAACAGAACTTGCAGAATTTAAAGTTATCGGAATTTGTGTAGCTGATGCTGCTGCCGTTTTATTTGCAATATTTGAAAAAGATGGATAAAGGGATGGATACTGTGGCATAACTGAAGCTTGTGCAACTTTGTTTGCTTGAGTTATAGGTGTTAGGGTTGCTTGACCTCCAAAGAGATTCACTGCTTGTGTTTTTGAAAGATTTAAACCCTGTGATGATGTTACTTGTGCTTGAACTTTAAAAGAAGTTTGTGTGGTATTAGCTGAAACATTAGTTGTCACTGCTTTTGCGTTTGTCATAGTAGGTGACTAAAACACATTTAATGCAATATTAAATAATGTAAGAAACTTCATACTCACTTCAATTGTAACTTGTAACTGTGGCTCGATTTTATTTTCATCTTTTGATATACTGTCTTTGACAGTTTTCATTTCTGTTCTACTCACAACAAAATAGTGCAACCCACTCATGTCTTTTATGAGATCTGGTGGAGTACATATACTCACAATTGCATCTTTTAAGTTAATTATAGAAAAACAGCATAACATTCCATGATGTGAAAACAGCAAGAGGAAAGGCGCAGGAGATAACGTAGATTCTCCCCAAGGTATTGGTGCTGTACTTCCTATTTCTAATGCACACCCTATTGGTAATGTCTCTTGATGATTGGAACTTAAAGGTAATTCTGCACGTGCCGCATCTCCCATTATCCACTGCGTCCAAGATTCACCAGAATTTCCAAGAATACCAACCTCCATGCTGTTTGATGAAGCTGCCATTAAAACATTCCTATAATGACAAATTCCATTAACCATCGTAAGATTTATGTTGTTCTTGTTCACTTACCAACTCTGTAACAAGATTGTGTAAAACTGCAAAGGTCTAGCACATCCATTGCTGTAGCATATATCATCATAATTAGTGTAGGTGGGCTCTCCAGTCTTTGGCGCATCAATAACTATAAAAGGCGCTTGCCCATCAGAGTTGTTCGGTCGAAACACACCAATAAATTGATAGTTTGAAACCCATTGTAAAGACAATACAGAATGCATTTCTTTTAAGGGTGGAGCATTAATGATTTTTACAGCTTTTAAATCTGGCTTCAACTGAGTAATTTTCCCATCCCGAGAACCAACAGCTATCTGTTTACCTTTAGGGCTCCATGAAAAACATGTTGCTCCTGCAGCTGTTGGTAACTCATTTATATCTACACCACCACTTTTAATTTCATAGACTCCTAAATAATTTGAATTAAACTTGTACAAGTTACGACTAAAACTAGTTACCAAGACTTCCATCACTTTTGCAAGCAGTAAACACAGATCCTACAGCAGGATTCCAATTTACTTCTATTACAGATACCTTTGGTGTGGGTGACAAACGTACTTCTCCTATCTGAATTATTTCTTGTTGCCAAAAAGACTTTACATCATAAAATAAAGCACAAGGACAATTATTTTTTTCAATGACGATGGCTAAAATAGTATGTTCACAATTCACTGACAGATGTGATGGGCGTGATACCAAAGACAGGTTTCTTCTAGGGTAATCAACTTTATCTCCATCACTAATTGTGTATTTTTCAATATCTTTCACTTGTATTACTACAAAACAATATAGACTATTATTACAACTGTCTAGAAAAGAAATAGACAATACCTTGAAGGCTGAAAGTATTTGTACCAATAAAAATTAACCCAAATCTGCTGGCACAGGCTACCAAACTACAATGTTGAGGAAAGTTCTTGCTGTCTGTATTTTCAAAAACTTTTAGACGACAGCGTAATTTAAACTGAAGATCCTGAAACGAGTATAATTACTGATAAGAGTCCAACTTTCGAATATAAACAAATACACTAACCTGGACATCCACCGGATCGGGGGCAGTTTTCAACATTCTTTGAAATGTGGTCGCAACGTTGGATTACCTCACTTTTTTAATGTAATTCAACAACCGATTTTTGTTTTTGTTTCCAGCTCTAATGATAACGATCCTAATAATAAAAAGTGTTTTGCACACACAATCTTACGATATTCGAAATCGAATTTAAAAATTACTGAACTGACTTCGAACAGAAAATCAACATAAATAATTTGACTTTTGACATGCAAAATTTGACAATAGACAACTTAAGTAAGGTTAGAACAGTTATCTCTGGTTAGAATTAGAATCAACCAATACGCGCCAGTTCATAATTCAAAAATTCTACTATGGATTTCTTATGGGAACTTTTATAACTTAACTAGTTAGTTCTTGCTGCAAGCGATAAAGGTTGTGTAATAATTTTCATGTTGCCAAAGGTTTAATTCTCCAATAGTGTTCTGTTAAAAAAGTATTGCAAATTAAAAACACCGATATCTATCAAAGTATAACATAAATCGATTCTAACGTCTTGATCTTGCGCATGAGTGAAACGGAAAATAAAAAATATGTTGGAAAGAAAAAGAAAACGAATATTTCGTGGTAACTGAATTCAAATTTTCCGCGTCCTTCGCTTTACTGGCACTTGAGTGCTGAGTCATCCAGGAAGTTATGGTGAAGTATTCTAATATCTATATTACCCACAGATATTATTATCTCCATGACACTCCATGGCACAACTAAATTTTATTTAAAACACGCTGGTACTCGGTAAAATTTTCTGAGTCATTACGGTATTTATTACTGATCACAACCACTAACTCTTGATGCAATGTTTTTAATTATTTGATCCAAATCTACTTCACGTAAAGAAACCATAACTTTAATTAATAAGTATATGTATAAAAATATTTCTTAAATTTAATCGAAAATACGAAATCGTCCACTTACTTAAAAAAAATAGTTAAATACGTATTTCTATAAAACACAGCATTGGCAAATTAAAATAATTTATTAGACTAAATTAATATTTACATTGACAGTATAAATTTATCAGAAAAAAGAAAACAAACAATAACTGAACTAATGCATAAATGTATTAATGACTATGGATCATAATTATTTAAAACTAATACAACTTTTACAGGAAGCATAAGAACCTCCTGCAATTTTAAAGGCAAATACAGCGGTCAAAACAACAATAAAATATAACGGTATAAGCGTTGCAGATGCAACTTGAAAATGATTAAATAATGTAATGGAAGATGTTAAAAGATGTGATGCGACCACAATTCCTACATGTAATTTATTATTATTGTCCAAGGCATTGAAAAAGATCACACCCCAAAATGTGTGCAGGAGTATGAAGCACAAAGCAGTAGCTGAACTAGTCATGAAGAACATTTCATTTCCAGACTTCAGACCCATGGTACCAGGGCCAATTGAATCAGCCAAAACATTTACTAAAGAAAATGCTCCACTAATTATTCCAAAACCTAATCCGCTGACATATGCCAAGATATGTTTGTTTTCAATAAGTTGTGTACTATCATCTGTTATCTTCTTGAGCCCACTTTCCGCTTTGCGTATAATCTTGTATATAATGTAACGAAATATTTCTTGGAATAGCACTGAAAACACTACACCAAAGGCAAGATCCTTTCTTAGAGGTATCACAGTGTACCACCATAATGATGACAGTAATAGTGACACTAACCAAAAGAATGCTGCAGCTATAAGTATTATAATCCTTACAGGATCATGTGCGATGGTAAATAAAAACATTGCAAAAGGTGGTCCAAAGGCCAAAAAAGTGCAACCAAAGAACTCCACCAGTGTCATGTTGATGTTTCTTGTAGAAATTCAAAGTTGTAAAAGATACTTATTTCAAAACAGACTCTTAGCCACAAGCACGATTTGTCGTTGTTTCTTCTATATATTTTCTTTTATTCGACTGTTGGGCAGGCGATTGTTTTCAGTTTTAGAGATACCTAGTACGTACCAGTAGTCGTCAATGCCTCTCTTTTTGTACCCAATTTTCTCCTCAACTTTCTTCACATTATACTTAGAATTATAGCACAACTTGGTAAAGTGAACATGGATGGTGAGTATTTGTTATTTTATAAATTATAATCCTCACAGAGTTTCGCCGCTACGTAATACGTCACAGCAGATCATCTCTGGCTACACATTTTATCATTTTATTTTATTAGTGTTAAATGTTGTTAAACAGCAGGGAAGTTTAACTTTTAAGCACAGAACAGTCAAGAACAGTCAATTTAAGTTTTTGTTTGTAGATTACCAATTACCATGGAATAACATAGATCAGGCGGCATAGAATAGTCTGTCATTACATAGTAACATTTTCATTTTTGCGATTGGTAGTATGGTAGTTGTACTTGCACTTATGCATGATTTGCACCATGGAGGAAGGAATATAATGGAGGGAGTGAGAGTTCAAATAAGTGATCCCGCGCCAAAATGCGTGAAAGCAATAAAAGGTGCTTCAATATGGCTGCCGCTTCAGTGGCGTATCTTAATAGTATTCATAAGGGGCCCCACTACTCAAAATTATATTCAATGCAAATATTTTTTTTAGAATATCTAAAATTTGAATTTTACTCATAGAAATTTATTTTGTATAATTATAATCAACAAAAAACCCAAATTCACATCAAAGTTTGAATTTTTGCTGTATAATTGTTGCGAGATCTTTGGAATAACATTTAAGGAGATAATATTATAAAGAAAAAACATTAGCCAAGAATAATAAAATCATTATATAAAATTATAAATGACTGGTAGTTACGCTAAGGTTTTGGGAATAGGGTGAGGTTAAAGAATAACAGACGAATTTGTATATGTTGTAATTCTAGAAGCTCGATTTTTTTTATTAATCCAATCAATGCATATCATTACTTGGTCTTAGTACCAGTAATCATAGAAATGTTGCCTCAATGCCAGTCATTTTCGGGTTAGCGGTAGGTCTTAAAATAATTTGATTAAAAGGCAGTAAGAGAACTGTACTTTATAATTTGTATAATAATTAATATTAATTTACAAATATGTACTAGATAATAATAACATAAATGTTTTTATAGGGTATTAAAAGAATACAATATTACAAAATAAAGATAAATTCACTTAAAGGATTAAAGGAAATACATACAATTTAAATAAAAAGAATACAGGATTACTACAAAGATGAGTTCGTTTCAACTAAAGGCTTGATACTTTTCTGAAAAATAGTATAAGAATAAAAAATATATATATAAGAAGAAACAAAGTAAAACGTCAACGCAATCAAATATGTTTTAGATTTTCTCCATATAATAAAACTTAACATGTTGTTTACATTTTTTTTTTTTTTAAATAAACCACATTTTGTAACTTTATTGCCCTTTAAAATGAATCAACTTAGTATATCTTTGCCTATCAGAATCTACTAAATAAGACTTACTTTTACAACTGTATTTTATACGCAAATTCAAATAAATATTAATTATTTCTTTCAACAAAAAAGATGTATGGAGGTGATTTCTATGAAGCAATTTGTCACAGTTTAAATTTTCAATGATGTCAATTACAATTTTGCATTTACTAAGTTTGGTATGTACTCGCTCATGTGTTCTGTAAGTTTTTTCACTTTGTAGGCAAATGGCAATCACATCGTCACTAGGATAGCTCAATCCCCCCTTTGATTTGAAATCAACAAAACTTCCTAATAAGTTCTCTTTTATACCAAAAAGGCATGATATACATATTTCACATTTCAAAGATTTGGCTAATTTAAAAGCAACAAATCCAGCAATGTAAATGACAACTTCCTCACAAAAATTTGTTAAAGATTCCTGCCTAAAGAAATAATTATGTTCAAAATTAACGGCACTTTCCTGAGTAACTTGTACGTCACTCGTTAATATCAATTGATCAGAATTAATATTTTCGAGTTTTTTAATTCGAGACGAACATGTCAAAATATTTACTTGCTCTAAGGGTACACAGTTTCCAAAACCACTGTGATTTATTTCTGCGTATATTAATAATTTTTTATATGCAGATTTAAACTGACGAGTAGTAGGGTTATTATTGCAGCCCCCTAAATTTCTAATTTGGAAGAAAAAATTTTCCAAATGATCTTGACTGCATTTATAGGTGGGCAGATACTGTAAAATTGACGTTCCTCCATCACCCACTACATATTGTTCATAAATATTTAATACTGCATGTAAACCAGCTACAAAACCTATAAAACCTGTTTTACGGGGCGAGTGAATAATTAAATCTTTGTTAAAAAATCTCAATTTGGATATATACGAAGTAAAGCAATTCACAAACGTTTTTACCTGATTAATATTATACTTATTTAATGCTTGCTTGTAACCAAATTCCTTTATTCTGCGCGAATTCAATATGTCAAAAGCGTCATTAATATTTAAAATGAAGGTAGCCGTTGCTTCACAGTTCTTAAACTGATCAAGCTGTAAAATATCTCGACAAAACGTCAAAGCTTCACAGACAGACCTGCTTAATAACTGTGTAGCTAGAGCAACTTTCATTTTTTGTTTAAAAAAATTTATATGTCTTCTACGTAGTTTGTTTGCAAGGTGCAGCCCTTCATTTTCTTGCAGTTCATTTAGAAGTTCTAAGTATTTAAAATCAATAACATTATTCTCTCCATCGACTATTCTTCTTTTGTCACCAAATGTGTTACGTATTAATTTCATCATGTGTGAAGGATCAAGTAAAAGAAGTATATTCTCTTCACCAAAGTTTGTTTTCAAATTAGAAGGGCTAAATGAGCAACCTAATGCAGATGCCATTGACAAATTTGTCACACAACCATCAAATGTAATATTGCTAATTTCAATTCCTACACTTTTTACTAAAAATAAACACTGTTTTAGTAAACCTAATTTTTGCTCACTATTTAAAGAATGGCTTAAAAAGTAACCCACGGGGATTTTCCAAGAGCCATTTATAGCAACCAGCATGAAAACTAAAGCTTCTTTGGCCTCTTCATTTTCATTTACTTCGATTATACTACCCATATCAACTAATATTGTTGCCCATCATATTCAATGCAGCGTTTAATAGCAACTTCATCGAACACTAAAGAACACACAATTTTACGTTCTTCAGCCTTTGCTTTTAACACATCGAATGCCTCACTTGTGAAACCTGGTGCACCAATCACTGAAGAATACCATACAGACAAAGTTTTTGGGTGTGGAAGACAGTCCATGAATTGTTTTCTTATAAAAGAAAAAGCCTTTGGGGAGTAGAAATGTGTTGTAACGGCAAATTTTCTTATTTCTGGCCCATATTGATTTGGCAATGGTTTGTTGTTAATTTTAGCCCACATTCTGCTCAACAGTTCTGTATTTTCCTGAAATTTATTAACATCCACACTGTTGTTTTCATAATAGTTGATTTTCTTCCTTAAACTTGAAACAACATCTTTCAGATTACAAATTTTGCGTTGCTGTTTTGAGGTTCTGCGTTTTAACGTTTTAATAGTGCATTGTTGTTGTGACACTAATGTCTTCAGGTTGTTAATTTGTTGTTTCAGTAAAACGTTTGCACATGTTTTTGTTGTTAAATTTTCAAGTTTCTTTGTAATTTCAAAAACTTTATTAGACAATTCATCTTCTATATTCTGTTGAGGCTCTACCGAAGGTGCGTCACAAACTTCTGTGTGATGCGTTTCATTGCCTCTAAAGGTCACTACATTGGTAATCTAAAATAAATATATGTATTAATTGTTATATCATGCAGCATGTGAGTTCATTTAATACCCTTTCTTCATAAGTATAAGAAATAGTTGGTACTGAATGTGGTCTTAAAACTACTTTCTGGGCTGATGTTCTATCAAAACACTTTTCTTCAAAATGAAATGAATACAGGAAAAAGTTGTTCACAGACACAGAATTTCCTAGGTGAAGATAAAGGAAGTCTGTCCACAGTTTCTTTAATTCAGGTTTCTGGGGACACCTAAAAGCAATTCAAAAATATTCATTAGTCCCTCTTAAGCAAATATTAAACGAAAAAATACGACACACCTGTGAAACGTTATTTTTTCTCTACCAATTGTTGACCTGGAGCCACTCGTAACTTTACACAATTTGCAACTAACCATTTTAAGTTTTTAAATAAACATGAAACGCTTATCGCAAATTCAAAACAAAACGTTCACACTAAACACGAGGTTAAAAGCGAAAATGACAAAAACAGAATCGTACGACACTGGTCAGTGCTGGCTGATGAAATTATTAAAGTAAGCATGCGCGGTGAAGGGCGCGCTAATTGAAAAGAGTAATAAAAGGTGCTTGCACTGGTGCCAAGAATTTACATTGCCGAGATACGGCGCACTCCCTCCATTATATTCCTTCCTCCATGATTTGCACTGATGTGAGTTTTTTTCAACGTTTTGTGTGGGCAACTCGTGGCACAAATCTAGAAAGAATATAGATTATGTTTATTTGTTTATTTATTTATTGTATTTAAGTTTGAGTTTATCACAGAACAATAATATGATATTATGCATAAGTCATAGAGATTATTATTAAATTAGTTAATAGTTAATAATAAATACAAAGATATAAGTTGTAATAGTAATTAGAATTACAGATAATTGTTTTCAGTCTTTATTTAATTTTCACAGTCTTCTACTACTAAATTACATACTTGATACATACTACCGCGTGATCAGAAATGACTTAGTTTGTTGGTAGTACTTTTTAAACAAAAATGCGAACTTTTCTTGCATTTATGTTGGCATAACGAAAGTTGTTGTGTGCATTGATTAAATACATATATGTATTTAATCAATGTTGTGTGACATATAGCCGCTAGAAAACATTTCTAGGGGCTATAGTGTGACAGATACAGATGTCAGTCGATAAATTTAGGTTATGTTTTGGATACATTCATGCAGGAAATCTCTCCATGGATACATTTTGCCGTCACCTTCGCTGCTTTGCTATTAAAATCTCACCAATTGATTACAGTCGTGCGATTTGTCAAAAGGGAAGATATCGAAAGATGTCTTCGGGAGATACAGCAACCTGTAATCCCTTTTTTCACTGTGCCATAAAGCCAGTGATATTCTAAAGCAAAGTTTGGTGTGTCTGAGTAGCGTATTCCACTGCCACTTTGTACTGCTAGAGGCATATGTAAGGGTAAAATTACCAAAAAGTGTCAAATATAGTGACTTTCATGTGGTAAAGTTGTCCCTCTATATGCGGCGGATGAATTAGTAGATATATTAACAGTAAATTTTAATTCAAATTAAACAAAATGTACAAAGACTGATTAACCAAAGCAGCTGACAAATACAAAAAACACACATGTCAATTTGGCTGTTGCCAACCTTTGGTTACAAATTCGTGCCCCTTCGGTGGTGGCGACATCTACTTTAGTTTTGCTTGAAATACCCTTAGATCATATAATAAATCATATTATATGATCTAAGGAAATACCCTATTAATAACATTGCCAAAATCTCCGAAAAGTACTACTCTGTTCTTGCTTTTATATGTTTGATAGCATGATAGCATAGAATTCAAATATAATCTTATTTATTCACTGTAAATAGTATATATACATACATCACATTTTTCACTCAGTGACATTACTACGTCGTTACACTATTGGTGGTTATTCAATATGTGAAATTGTGTCAAATAGTGTCAAATATAGTCAGACATTCAGTCAACATTACCGATTCCTTTACCTCCTTATATAAGCACCATCATGTGACCTGACCTGACCCCCGGAAATTATAAAAAACATCATGATACCAATTTCAATTAAAAATCCAGGATTGCCAACACTCAATCATTTCTGATCACGCGGTAGAATTAGATATATTGATTCTATACTTTTCCTGTTCTGCTTTTTTTTATTCATCACAAATTACGTTCGCATTTTTACGTGTGTCCCAGTCTTCACAACATGAAAAATCATTAGTTATGAATTCGGCTGTTCAAGTGAAAAAGTCATCAAGTTGACCTTGTTTTTTTTTGTAAACATTGCAAAGTACATACAGGATGCCGCATCCAAGTCTGGATATAGGGAATTAACATGCGAATTGGTTTTTATTTTATAATATCTCCCCAGATCACTTTAAAGCTAATATTGAGTGATGCCTTTGTGGAGGTCGAAGAGGGCTATCGGCCAGTATTTTTTTCAAATCGTTGCATCGCGCTCATTCACTGTAAAAAGGTTTTAAAAATCGTATTTTGAAATTCGCGCCCGATCCGAATTGTCGCGAAGTGTTCCGTCGTACTGTCGAAGTTCGGCGATCGCGTATGTTCATTACCCATGCAAAATTCAAATGTCAAAGTGAAATTAGAAATTATTCTCATCAGAAATCAACGAACAAGTCAAACTGAATTATTTTATCCAGTGTGATGATTATTGTAGGACAAATTAAACGGAATAAATGCACAAATTGATCCATTCATTCGTCATAGTGCGCGACCCCGTCAAACGAGCCATCTCGAACTACAATCAGACCGTATCCAAAAAGCCCAAGATGAAGACTTCAAGACTTCGAGCAGCTGGTCTTCCTCAAAACCCCATCAAAGCCCATCGGCAGCATTGCGACATTTTCTGGGAGCCCTCAAGCTAGGAATGTACTCGGGCTGCCTCACTCAGTAATCACTGAACGACTCAAATTGAATTATTTTATCCAATATGACGATTATTGTAGGTCAATTTAAACGAAATAAATGCACAAACTGCACAAAATATTTTATTAGGTTATGTTGCTGGTGCTGATCGAGTCTTTATTACTAAAATCTCATTAAAATGCCATGTTCTACTGCGATTAGATGAAAAAGCGAGGGCCCGCTTTTCTTATTGTGTGATGATAAGATTTGCCATCAAAATAGCTGGCGCTTTTGAAGAGGACCTTTTAATGAACCATTTAGATAACTACAAATAACAAAACTTAACAATTGTTGATGAATGAAGTAATGAAATATTGTACGAATCTGGAGAAGTATTGCACTATTTTCAAGAATTGCTCAAAAAGACTGCTCTCAGCAGCTGTACAGTAAGTAAGCCAATCTTCAAAACTCCTACGCGTGTTGATCAGCATTTTAGTTGAAATCTGAAGACAATATTGCTGGATTGCTTGTTTCAGCGCTTCTCTGTTTGTATAGCTTGTCTGAATGCAGATGGTCGTGAAGAAATCTCCAAAGAAAAAATTCTCAGGGGTTTATATCCGGCGATTGCACAGGGCAATGGGGCGGTGCAAACTTTCCATTCCAACATTGCGGAAAAATACTGGTTCAAATAAACAACATTTATGCGAACTGTATGGCTGGAGATTTGGTCCTGGATGTAAAAGACCTGCTGCAGATGCCGCACCCTTCGAGTCCCAGGAAGTATTTGCTGAGCTAGCATATTATCCTACTTCTGAGCATTCAATCCGGATTCGATGAAAAAAGGTGCAATGACATGATGTCCTAGAAGCCCCAGTTATACACTGACAATTGCACGCCATTGATAACGAAGGTCATGGACCACGTGAGGGTTGTGTAATGCTCAAATTTGATCGTTCTGACGATTATAACTTCCCTTAAGACCAAATGAACGTCAGTAAAACAAATTTTCCTCAAAAACTCTCCATCAGCCTAGATTCTCTCAAGAGTTCCTTCGTAAAACTCTATATGTGAGAAGTAGTCCCCAGGCTTCAATTTTTTGTCATGATGCTTTTTGAAATTCTTCTATCTCATCTGTTTAAGACCCCTAGAAAACGTCGTGCCCACCTGATTTTATGTAATTTTTATCACCTTTGAAAATAAATGTAACTTTATTTTGCGAAATATTATTTTTATTTTTGTTGTTGTTAACACAATAAACAAATAAAACAGTAATACAAAAGTTTCTGAATCCCAAAACACATTCGTAATAGAGAAAAATGCTTTAAAATGTTGATGAGTCAATGTTCTACATTTCCCTCTCAAAAATTGCCTGTAATGAAGATGCTTCCTGGAGGCAAAAAATCCATCCCTGCTTAACGAATGTAAAATCAATTGACTTCCAATCTTTAGTGATTCCAAAAAAAAGGGTGAAATTTATCCAAATTACCTACTAATTAAATTAACTGTTGAAGAACATGCAGGCCCCCGCTTTTTCATCTAATCGCAGTAGAACATAGCATAACCTAATAAAATATTTTGTGCAGTTTGTGCATTTATTCCGTTTAAATTGACCTACAATAATCGTCATATTGGATAAAATAATTCAATTTGAGTCGTTCAGTGATTACTGAGTGAAGCAGCCCGAGTACATTCCTAGCTTGAGGGCTCGCAGAAAATGTCGCAATGCTGCCGATGGGCTTTGATGGGGTTTTGAGGAAGACCAGCTGCTCGAAGTCTTGAAGTCTTCATCTTGGGCTTTTTGGATACGGTCTGATTGTAGTTCGAGATGGCTCGTTTGACGGGGTCGCGCACTATGACGAATGAATGGATCAATTTGTGCATTTATTCCGTTTAATTTGTCCTACAATAATCATCACACTGGATAAAATAATTCAGTTTGACTTGTTCGTTGATTTCTGATGAGAATAATTTCTAATTTCACTTTGACATTTGAATTTTGCATGGGTAATGAAAATACGCGATCGCCGAACTTCGACAGTACGACGGAACACTTCGCGACAATTCGGATCGGGCGCGAATTTCAAAATACGATTTTTAAAACCTTTTTACAGTGAATGAGCGCGATGCAACGATTTGAAAAAAATACTGGCCGATAGGCCTCTTCGACCTCCACAAAGCCATCACTCAATAATAGCTTTAAAGTGATCTGGGGAGATATTATAAAATAAAAACCAATTCGCATGTTAATTCCCTATATCCAGACTTGGATGCGGCACCCTGTATATGTCTACAATAAACCTCAAATTCAATCGATGACAGCTGACAACGCGCAAAGTCAATTATATACAACAGTATATGTAGATTAATACATACATCATAAAACACATGCGTTTTTTGCTACATTTTTTCTTCCTTTCAAAAAAGCCACGTCAACTTGGTAATTTTTTTTAGTTCGACACCCATTATGTCTATGTGATGTGTAATATGTACTAACATGTATTAATAAAACGGAGTCACTGCTTGAAGACTCGAATGTTCTTGTTTTTTTGACCATGTTGTACATTTCTAAAAGTGACAATGACAATGAAATTTTGCAGTTAATTTGACTTAATACATAAGACAGCGTATAGAACGTCCTTGTACCAGCAAATGTTTTTGAAATTTGGACAAGACATTAATTAACACTGATATGAGTTGTTCGTGCACAACACTAATTTTTAATTTTATGATTTAACAAAATTTAATAAATTACATAGTCTAGGTTATTTTTACGTCTATGATTGAAGAGATCGTTGCTTTGGTGGTTGCTTCTACTCTGCGTAAATGACGTTTGACGTTTTCTAACGGTAACCTCTAAAATTAGAGTTGATACGCGGAAAACCAAAGATCAACGCCTTAATTCTGCTACGTTATAATTGATTGAAATATTTGTATTAGCCCTAAATATATTTAATGAACTAGTTTTTGTGGAAGTAGGGTGGCACCTGTTATGATACACCAATTCGAATAAGTACAAAAAATGGCGTTCAACTTTCCTGCATTATCTTACATTATTGCATTAATAGTCGATGCTTTTTTAATATTCTTTTCTTTATTCCACGTAATTGCATTTGATGAATTAAAAACCGACTATAAGAATCCAATTGATCAGTGTAATAGCCTAAATCCAGTAAGTATTGTAATTTACTTACAAATTAGCAATGTTGTGCTTGGCAAACATTTTTGCATAACACATTACTTGTTCAGTTTTCTTTAATTACTGTGTATTTCAGCTGGTGGTTCCAGAATATCTCCTTCATATTTTTGTCAACATACTTTTTGCTGCAGCAGGAGAATGGTTTTCGTTGCTTTTAAATATACCATTAATTATTTACCATATCAATAGATACAGAACAAGACCAGTAATGTCAGGATTAGGAATTTATGATCCAACTAGTATTATGAATGCAGATGTTTTGACTAGATGTCAAAGGGAAGGGTGGATTAAACTTGCTTTTTATTTATTATCCTTCTTTTACTATCTATATGGGTATGTAATAGCTCTAGAGAGTGCTCATGATCATACGTGATAGTTAAATGAATAAAATTAAGCTTAAGTGACAATTGCTGGTCATTAATAACAGACACTAAATTTGTATTAAATATGATATTCTGAATAAAACATGTAAACATTTAAGATCATTTATAATCTCAACCATTAAACAAGGTACTGGCAAAACAATATTTTAGTGTCATAATAATTAACATGGCTGTGTTGAAATTCATTTTTAAATTTAATTTTTTTATGTTGGACACGTATGATCATGTGCTTGTATGTTTAAAAAACATACAGTTATTTTATATATTTAGTGTGTTTTAAATAAGAACCGAAATCCTTAATAAGTATGTTTGTTGCAGAATGATTTACTGTTTAATCTCGGCGTAAGTTCTTGCCCCCGCCAAAGAATTATGAAGGACAAAACAGTAAATAGAAATACATAGTAGGCAGTAAAATTTGGTAGCAAAAAGGGATTTCGGTTCTGATTAGGGTGTATGTAAACATTGAATGTGATGCATTCAACATAGTAAAAGAACCGATTTTCTTTTTTGTGCTTTATTTCTTCAATAATTGATACATTTTTGTTATGAAATCTTTTTTGATGAGATTTAATTATTATTAATTATTAATTAACTCCTCAAAATAGATTTGCTATATTATGAATATTTTGTTGTTTATGTTCATAAAGATAAATAAAAGGTTATTAATTATCTTTCTTTACTTTAATACAAAAGTATAAACTTGTAAATATAAATGCAACATTTACATTATAACAAAACGTAAATATATTTATTCTTTGATATAAGTTTGAATTTGGTTTTGGTGTTGCTTTGGACTGGCTACAAAACAAGTTTCAATTTTGTACACTTAATACTGTACTTAAAAATATATTTTTATATAAAATAATTAAATGCTTATTGCTTTGTTTTCAAATTTAAAAAAATAAATTTAAGAAAGTAGGTATGTGATTAAAAAAATAATTCATAACATTGGTGATGTTATAACTCAATTACCTAATTTTTCTAATAACCATTCTTCAGTTAAATCTTCAAGTTCTCTAATTTCGAAAGCTCTAAGAACATCAGCTTCTCTCTGAAGTGCAATTTTTGAACCTGCATACATCATCTGCAATTCAGCATGACTGTCCCTTGGCGTAAAATATATAAAACATAGCGGATAAGAAATTCGCCCATCACTGTGCTCTTGACGATATGATAATATAATATAGCGAGGTTGATGACTTTGTAGATTTTCTTGTAGTTCTTGTATTGTGATATTTTCAAGTTTTTCGTCAATTATTATTTGTTGCTTTTCACGATCCACTTTTACTAAAATACATTATATTACCTCAATACCAAAATTCTGAAAACTACTCACAAATGAGAGCAGCTGTGTCTTGCGCCTTTCGAAAACGGAAATCTTTTAAAGCTTTCTTAACGTCATCAGTAACTGCACAAATATTCACGTTTCCTGACTGGAATTAAGAATTATTAACAAATTAAGTAATGATCATTATGAAAATACCATTTTCTATAATCTTTTCTATACTTTGGTAGTTATAAATACGACCATTAAAAAACGATTGAAATTCAATTCGACTGTATGATTTCTACTGATGGATTAGACCTTTTTGTTCTCCCTCTTCATTAGAGCTAAAAAAAACTATACACAAATGTATTGTGAAAGTTATTGGTTTTGCAGGTGCCAAATCTTACCTGAAGTAATAAACAAAAAAGTTACAACAAACTGGTATAAACAGGCCTGACAAAAACGAAAGAATCGACTGCAACAAATGACAACTGTCAAAAACTCAAGCAAAACTTTACAAATATTACAGATAATAACTTTACCAACACGACCATCTACTCGATTGTGACATCAACATCAATCATCAAAATGTAGTCGAAATGACACCAGGCTACCAGGCATTACATTGCCATTACTTTGTAGAGATGTCTCTAGAAGGTATTGCACCAGGACTCTAATTCTACAGTTTCCCTGTGACTCAAGTGCATCGAGCAGCAGTCGTGGCATCGAGTAATAAGTATAATTAAATTTTTTCCCAATAGATGTCATCTTGGCCTCAATATTATTCAAGTTACTAGATATGACCAGAGAACACAGAGAAGCGCCATAGTTTAAATTAAATGACGGTTGAGGACTTCTCAATTTATGTTGGTAGCAGTGTTTGCTTCTAACTAGGAATAAAAGTAACTAGAAGAAATGTCATAATATTTTTAACGACGCGTTTTATTTTCGACAAATTGACACTAGATTAACCAGAATATTACAAGCTGCTTACTGTTTCCTTCACTATCATTCAGGTCACACGAATTACAATTATAGTGAAGCACGGTTTTTATTGGCATCGACTATTTAAATTTGGCGCTTGCCTTTGGCGGTTGGGGACTCCAATGGCAATAAGGGTGGTTTTGCAAAATCAGCCTCTATGTCGCTTCTCTATGTTCTCTGATATGACTATGGCCCCTCTAGAACTTGCCACAAATTGTAGCCTGGAGCAAACCTGGTGCAAACATGGACAAAAGTGACCAAAAAAAGTCGCGTCTAAATCTAGAGAATTTCAATTTGAACATGGGGAACTTGCATATCATAATTAATTTTTTTTCTGATTGATACAATATTGAATAATATTGCCTTAGTTACAATATGTCATAACACACTAATATTTCCCAAGGGAAATATGAAATGATCATATTGTCCCAAGGGAAATATGAATTGTCATATTTCACTACAAATTTTTTTTATTTTTTAATTGATTTATATTCACCAATTCGTTCGTTCTGCAGGCGCCAAAGATTTCCATAATTAAAACGACCTTCAAAATTATGGATGTAACAATCTATTTAATAGAGGAGAATCACAATGAAATTTTTACCTTATACATCAAAAAAATGTCATTAGGAGCTTCTCGCATGAATTTTTTGAGCTGTTGTCGAGACAACACCTCTGATTTTTTAGGAATGTATCCTTTATTTTTATTCTTCACAAATGCTTCTACTTCATCGAACAGTTTAACATCAGTTTTTTCCCTTAAATGTAACATTGACCTTAGCATCGATAATTTTGGCCACAACGTATTTGGTGAATATTTGTGCGACTACGGATAGAATAAATTAGTCATACGTCAAAAATAACAAAAATCAGCAAAATACCAAATCTTCAAAAAATGCAAGCAAAATATTTTCGTCGACACCATTCACCGAATTTTCTCTTCTCCATTCTTGAAAGTCTTCATACACTTTACTGTAAGCAGCTTTAGATTTCACGGGAACCAAACATTCACGGGCTTTCGCCGCTTGTGATAGCACGTAGTTCGACATTTCATCAATTTTATTTATGACAGGACGCGACAATCAAAGCAGCCAACCATGATATTTACAAACACCCTTAGCAACGTTACCAATCCGATTAATTCAAAAATTTAGAATCCAATATTTTTTGTAACAATATTGTATCAATCAGAAAAAAACTATTGATTACAACACGGGAAATATGAATTATGTCCCTTGGTTGTCTATACATCCCTCGGGTTGCACCCTCGGGATGTAACTAGCCAACCTCGGGAAATATAGTATTCATATTTCCCTAGTTGTAATAATAGATAACATAACAATGGTAACACCAAATATGTATGTAGTTTAGTTGATAATTCGAGTCTTTGCGCTTAAATGAATCAATAAGTATTAAAATCCAAAAAGCTGTTTTGTTAGGAACGTGTCATATTGTTCGTAACATGTTCGTACCTAAGTTTCTCGAACAATCGCTAATGGCTGATTGCAGAGTGATTACTGATTAGACCGAAATACCATATTTATTTAATTCCTTGATTCACACTAGAATTTAAAAAATATCATACATCCAGAAGGTCTGTGGTTTTAAAAACATCAAAACAAAGTGTCACTGTCACATACTACATCTATATTAATAAAAATGAATCGCCGAAATGTATGTACGCCCATAACTTGAGAACGGCTGCCCCGAATCGGACGATTCTTTTTTTTACGTGTTCATTATCGTCAGGAGAAGGTTTATATGTAAGAATATTTATAAAAAATGAGACCGGTTAAAGATAAAAAAAAAATTAAAAATTTTGCACGGGAATCGCCACTTCGAATCAATTTGAATAGTTGGCCATTCCTGACGGACCTGTCGCCTGACTGACGTGTCACACAAAACTATTTCTTCCGTGCGATTGTGAAAAGTATTATTGCATTTCAAGTCGTTGTTTGTTTTTTCGTAACAAAAAACGTCGTTTATTTCAAGAAAAGTGTTCGTTAAAGTGAATTCAGTTACGCATTGCGAAAGTTTCTTATTAATTTTGATCTGCCATTCTATTTACCTATGTTCACTTTGTTGGTTTCGACAAAACCTCAAACTTTACCGTTATTCGAGGATTTGATTTGAAGTTTTCAGTATTTTAAAATTCTCAAGACAAAATTTACAGATTTGATTGACTGCGAAAATAATTCTGTGTCGTTTTATGAAGTTCATTACAACCCCGAGAAGACGACAAGCTGACATAGGTCCACGAAGTCAATGAAATGTGCGACGAACTACCTCAGGTACAAATCGCAATGATTTATTTCATGGGTAATTCGGATACGGAAGTTGATCAGCGTCGTGCTCATAATCAACATAATAGTCAAACATTGAAGCGAGACATTGGGTGGTATGAATAAAACTGAGTAGATACTCATATTCGAAGTACGAAGTACCTACTTTATTATTACTCTTATGTACATGAGCATCTACTCTATGTACTGAGTACCTACTTGGAAACATTGTATCTCCCCGGACACAAATTGAACATCTACCTACGCGTTTTCTGAGCATACAATCTAAAAATGAGAATCGGCGTGGCAAATGACTGAACTGTCTGTAAAGCAGCTTAGAAAGCGAGTAGGATCGTTGTAAAAGTGAATTTTAACTACACATGGATACTTTCATGAACGTGGAGCGTCGTCAAAAGGTGCATTCAGTTTGAAAAACATATTAGCAGCGGGAATATCGAAAACTTTTCAGGTAATTAACTTTTATTTATGCATAAATTGTGCAGTACGTTTTTTCTAACACTGGCCATAGAGATTCCCATCTCAAGGTGTCTACCCCATACTGACTTATATTTTGGTGACCCGATTTTTGCCTTGATGGTTGAACACTGTCAGTGTTTTCCTTTTTTGTTGTATCGAGATGCTACTTGAGCATCAAGTGCTACCTATTTGCATCATCTAGAAAAACTAGAAATACTTTGATTTGATATTCGAGTAGATGCTTCGTATTTCGAGTATGAGTATCTACTGAGTTTTATTTATATCAACCATTGTCAAACAACTGATCGAACGTTTTTTCGATAGAACTTCCTTCGCACCAAAAGTATAATGTAACATATTCAGCATTTTCGAGTTGAGTCTTTTCTTCACACAATTTTGTGATGACCTAATCAACATTTACGAACAACACGTATATCACCTTGGATTGATGCAGTGTAACTAATACTAAAAATAACTGTATTGTATCTCCAAAATTATCTGCGAAAATCGAGTGAGCCGTCCCATCAATTTTTAATGATTAACAATTTACCATGCTTACAATAACTTTAAAACGTCTGCAAGATCTCAAAGTATTCATTTCTGCAACTCTTGAGTTATTCAATAAAATAAATTGACTGATCCATATATTTTTTTAAGTCACTGTAAAAGCAAATCTAAAAAATTGGTCTAAAGAGTTTAGACAGTACTTCCCTCTCTGTCGGAAACGTGACGACTGGATGTCTATTATGTTTTTTTTTTCGCAGTGGATTTCAAAGCATTCGGTTCTGTAGTTCCTGATTAAATCAATAAAATATATTTACGCATTCATTAATTTTTTTGGGTCACCCTGTATATGCAAATCCAAAAAATATGAATGGAATGATAAATCACAAGGAGAGACTCATCATATTTTGTACATTTTAGATAGGATTTATTCAGCGAAATTTTGTGGTGATGTCATAAATTTTTTAGGGGAGATGAGCAAATACACTTTGATCAAAAACTTACCAGGCTTATGACAACTTTAAAGAATCATCAAGATTTCAAAGCATTCGGTTTTGTAGTTCCTGAGTTAATCAATAAAATAAATTTACGCATTCATTAATTTTTTTTAGTCACCGTATATATACAAATCCCAAAAATATGAATGGAGTGATAAATAACAAGTACAGACTCATCATATTTTGTACAGTTTCGATAGGATTTAGTCGGCAAACTTCCGAGCTGACGTCATCAATTTTTTTGAGGGGATAAGCAAATATATTTTGACTAAACATTTATTATGCTCTTTACAACCTTAAAACATCTGCAAGATTTTAAAGCATTCGGTTTTGTTGTTCCTGATTAACTCAATAAAATAAATTCACGCATTCATTAATTTTTTTGAGTCACGCTGTATATGGAAAACGAAAAAATTTGAATGGAATGATAAATCACAAGAAGAAACTCACCATATTTTGTACATTTTAGGTAGAATTTATTCAACAAAATTTTGGGGTACGTCATAATTTTTTTTAGGGGGGACGACCAAATACATTTTGATAAAACATTTACCATGCTTATGATAATTTTAAAACATCTTTAAGATTTCAAAGCATTCGGTTTTGTAATTCCTGAGTAAATCAGTAAAATACTTTTAGTCATTAATTTTTTTTTTTAGTCACCCTGTATATGCAAATCCAAAAAATATTAATGGAGTAATATATCACAAGTACATACTCATCATATTTTGTACATTCTAGATAGGATTTATTCGGCAAACTTTTGAACTGACGTCATCAAGTTTTTGGGTTTGATAAACAGATATATTTTGATTAAAAAGCTACTATGCTTACAGTAACTTCAAAACGTCTGCAATATTTCAAAATTTTCAGTTTTGCAATTCTTGATTCAGTCAATAAAATAAATTGACCCAGTGATTAATTGTTTTGGGACACCCGTTTAAGTAAAACTAAAAAAATATTAATGCAGTGATAAATCACAAGTAAAAACTCATCATATTTTGCACATTTCAGATAGGATTTATTCAGCAAAATTTTCAGGTGACGTCATCAATTTTTTAGGGGGAATGAACAAATACATTTTAATCAAAAAATTACCATGCTTATGATAACATTAAAGCATCTCCAAGATTTCAGAACATTCGGTTTTGCAGTTCCTGATTAAATCAATAAAATTAATTCACCCATTCATTAATTTTTTTGAGTCACCCTATATAAGCAAATCTAAAAAATATAAATGGAATAATAAATCACAAGTATAGACTCATCCTATTTTGGATATTTTAGATAGGATTCATTTGACAAATTTTGGGCTGACGTCATCAATTTTTTGGAGAGGATAAGTAAATATATTTTGAATAAAAATTTATTATGCTTATCATATGTTTAAAACATCTGCAAGTTTTCAAAGCATTCGGTTTTGCAGATTCAAAATTAAATTGTAGGTGAAATGAAGTTCACCGGGTCAGCTAGTCATTTAATAATTAATGATTGGATATACGACAATGCCAACTGGGTTCAACACAAAAAATATCTATATAGCATTTAAATATTATCTACTAAATTAAATGGACAAACATTTTTATCATCGTTTCAAGAAAAACCTGTCTCTGCAAAGAGTAAATAAAAAATATTGAAACATAATAGTAACATTAAATTTATGACTAAAAAAATATAAGAGTAAATTCTATAATTTATAAAAAATAAAACTAATTCATTGCAATAAAAAGAAACAAATTTATTACGGTTAGGTAAACATCACAGTAGGTGTTGAAAATGTTAATCATTTTGTTCAAGGCACATGTTCCCTCTCTTTTTAATTTCAAAAATGTTCTGTAATCCTTTCGTCAATAGGTACCCACTGTTCAATTTCATGTTGCAACAGGAACTCCTAACTGTTGAGGAAATTTTGTCAAAGATGCTTGCGGATTCTGCTCAAGTCGTCTCAAATCGTCAACAACTTCCTCAGATACTGAAAGTTTTCCAGGTGATTTCCCTTTGTCAACACTCCCAGTTTGAACAAATCTATTGATTACATCTCTAATGTAAGCCTCTCATGATGTTTCTTGAATTATGTATCAAAAAATCAGGGTATTTGACCAGATACTCTTGCTTACAAGCGGTTGCAGAATACAGTCACCCTTCGTTTACGAGTGTCTCACTGCGATGACAAGACATAACAATGAAAGTGTATTATTCAACAGAATAAACCATTTTCACGGTCTTTGTTTCCTAGCACAGAAACAAAATTTTTGTACGCGAGCACCAAGCATTTTGAAAACGACTGTTTTGTTTTGAGCTTGGATCAACGAGAATTACCTACTGTAATTCATACGTGAAAAACGTTAAAAGAATAAAACAATAAAAACGATAACTTAACATGACGTGTTACAAGACTGTTATAATGATACATAATTCCAGCGAAGCGGGAT